CAACTTAAAATAATTTCCACTTAAACTTTCCGATATTTTTGTTTTTCTACTATTTTAAAATATACCTTCATTACCTCCAAATTCATTACTTTTTGTATATAGTATAGTAAGTTCTCCGTGAAACTGAACATTGACTTCTTATATATTGTTTTGACTATCTTCAGTTATTATAATAAACATAAAGTGCATTTCAAAAGATAATTTATAATGGATCATTCCATTTTCTTTTCACTTGCTATTCTTATTACTGAATGTTGTTACGGTATTATATAATTCATTCACTTAATATATTTTTGGGGTCCTTTAACTTTTATTTCTGAGGAGATTTTAACATATTAATTCATGTTTTGTTAAGTAAGTATATCTCTTTTTCATAAATTATCATGTAAGTGACATAATTACATTATTATGTAAGTGACATTTTGGTATTTTCTTCAGTACTTGGAAATTTTTCAAAGAAAAAAGGGAAGGAGAATATTGTATATCCTTTTCCTTAGGTATCAGTGAATGCCACCAGCCACACACACAAACCCAGTGTGAGTCTTAATAACCAAAGAATAATCAAAGTATTTTTCTAAACAACATACTTCCTGAGGGGAGATCCATTTAGGCAATAACTGAGTAATAGATACTTTTATCTCTGGAATTAATAGGAAGCATTATCTGTGAGAAGTTTTAGAATTTGATCTCTATAATTCCATCTGAATTCAGTGCATATCATTTTCTCCTTTTCCATGGGAACATTTTTTTTCTTTTAAACACAGCATGTATATTTGATGAGCATGTAAGTATATATTCTTATTGACTCTGAACAATTTCTTGTCACCTGTTTTATTTCTTAATCTGTGTTGTACAGGTAGTGCCATTAAGATGTTTCATATGCGTCAAAGTAAGACACGCAGAAGATGATGGGACTGTAATTACATAGTACATCAAAAGCAATCCAACTTTGGCACAGCTGAAGATTACTTCAGTTTTGAATTAATCTGAATGACCCCAGCTTTATTGCTGTCGAGTTTCTAGAAATGATAAAATGTCAAGTCACTGGAAATAAACCGACAGAACCTAAAAAAAAATGACATGACTAATGCATAGTTTCTCTGACTTGTTCCATATTCCCTAAACTTTATTACCAACTACAATATTTTCTTTAGAAATGCTTGTCTTAATGAATGTGTCTTTCACCTTTCGAAACTGTGTCTGCGATATAAAGAACAGAAAATTCAGGGCTCTGTATATTTGTGTTTCATGTCCACTAAAATCTCAATCCACAAAGAAGATGTAAGTGGTGAATCACTGTTTCCCTTCTACTATATCTTAATTTTGGTGGGGCACGTTAGTGGATGCTCGTGAGTCAGTCATTTTGAAGAATGCTACTATTTCCATTGATCACAAGTTTTTCAATGCCATTAGATAATTATAAAATTCATGGGCATACTCTATGTTGACCACTTTTTAGGAAACTGTTGTTTAACTCATATTGACATAGCACTACAAGGAATTGCTGTCTTCACATTTATTGTTATAGGCTTCATAAAATGTTGTTTTATAAAACACAAAACTCGTATTTCAGCATATCGTCCTGAAAAGGGGAACTCTCATTTATAGTCTGCATTATCTGGTGTCCTTCAGATTACCTTTCAGACTTAAAAATTCTTCTCACATTGGAGGGTCTCAATTCTGGCTCATCTTTTTATTTTTTACTTTCACTAACTGTAATCTCTTAATGATGCTGCCAGACTACATTATTTCCCTTGATTTTTAATTCTTTTAATTTGGCTTTTTAAAAAATTTATTTATTTATTTATTTATTTATTTATTTGACAGCGAGAGATCACAAGTAGGCAGAGAATGAAGGGGAAGCAAGGCTTCCCACTGAGCAGAGAGGCCAATGCGGGGCTCGATCCCAGGACCCTGAGATCATGACCTGAGCTGCAGGCAGAGGCTTAACCCACTGAGCCACCCAGGTGCTCCTTTTAATTTGGCTTTTAATTGTTCAGATGAAAAGCTAACTTGCAAAGTGAATAAGTAATCTAAATCTGCTCCAATAAGCAGAAATATTACGTGTCATTTCCGCTGGATGTCCATGATTTCCTGAGATGCCATCCAATGCTCTCCCACCTCAGTCTGCACCACCATCACCACCTTGCACTGCGGGGAATATCTGAAATTTGAAATCCACTACACATGGCAGCCGCCCCTCTCTCTCAAATCTCTGTCTGCCAGCTCTGTCTTGGATAATTTTTCATCTTAAGTTTCCTAATTCAATATCCTGTTAGAGAAAAATGTACAGTACATTATTCAACTTAGCTCTCTATTACTCTATTTTATCAGGAAAAAAATTTGAAGGTCTTTCTTAATACTTATTGATGTACCATGACATTGGAATATGACTAATTCTAGTATAGACTCAAGGCTTTTGGTGTTTCTTCAGGTTCTTTATCACAATCACAGGACAAGAGGAAAAGGTTGTGAACATGTTTCTGACGAATGATATTTCTGCTTAATAGGCATTAAGAAGGGAAGGAAAAAAGGAAAGGAAAAATAACATATGTTTGAAAAGTTTAGTACAGCTTTGAATAACTGCTGTGTAATTTCTCGTCATGTTACACAAGAATTCAGGCATTACTGGGTCACCTGGGTGGCTCAGTTGGTTAAAGTCTGCCTTCAGCTCAGGTCTCGATCCCGGGGTCCTGGGATCCAACCAGGCTTCGGGCTCCCTGCTCAGGGGGGAGCCTGCTTCTTCCACTCCCTCTGCTACCCTTCCTGCTTGTGCTTTCTCTCTGTCTCTGGCTCTCTGTCAAATAAATAATAAAATATTTTTTAAAAAGGAATTCAGGTTTCATCATATTTGCTAGTATTCAGAAGTTCTTCAATCGGATCAGGGTTTAATATGGCTTTTGTGAAACACACTCTCTAGAAAGTAGGCTGCAAAAGTCACTTTAGGTTCGGTTTATGTAGTCATGGCTATTTGAACTCAAATTCCCCTTGGATATCTCTTTACCTTCCTTGCAGACGATGTGTACACAATGTAACCTATGATTTTAGTCTTCCTCTTTGCTCTGTTGCCTCAAGTCCAAACTCTACTGTAAATCCTGCAAACTTTGAGCATCTCTCTAGGACAGCCACTGTGTGAAATGTTTAGGGAACAAAATCTAATGAAACATAATCCTAACCTATGAAAAGTTGCTAGCTTGATCAGTTAATATGACATCTTTAACTAAAATTCCTTTGTAATATCTATGTAACACCCTATTATTACCACTTAGATTATTATTGTTTGCCTGTGTTCTGGTTTGTTTATTTATTTATATAACTTTTAAATTTGTTCTTTTAGAAAGGTTTGACATATTTCCCTTTGAAGGCAGGCATACTGTTAATTATCAGATTAATTGAACAACTATTTTTGGACCACTGAAAAAATGTACTTTCTCTTTTACATGGAATCAAACAAATTTAGGTAAATATTTAGCTTTTTTCAGATTAAGAAGATGTTTCAATGAGGTAATGTCCACTGAATATAAAAAAGTCTGATTTTAACATTGTAGGAGAAAGTGGTGGATATCTTTTTTTATGGGGGGGACATGAGCTGTATATGACAAGGTTGAACTGCTACCAGGGCTAATGAAATGACCACATTTTGAAACAGTGAAAGAACTACAAGACTTATAAAATAATTGGGAATAAAAAGGAAAGTATTTGGCAAGATCGCTACAAGGTGTGATTGATTATTTTTCCTCATATTTCTTGAGGCCAATAGCTGAAATATTGAAAGATAGTTTGATAAATGAACTTTACCATTCAAGAAACATATTAAAGGCCTTCCTAATTAATTTCTATTGATGTAACTAGAAGTTCTAAACAAATTAATTACTCTGGCCACTTTAACCATGGGAAAGGACAAGCCAAAATACATTAATAAAAATTAAAACAGGAAAGCAGACATCAAAATTTAAATTTTGTATTTTTGAGATTAGTTTTGCATTTACATTTTTACTTCCTCCCATACTCTTCCTTTCCTTATTTTTATTTAAACAGTCATTTAATCCTTTAATACATATTTTGATGACAGGCCAGTAAAATAGCTTATACCTTTTTCTTCATGTTATGCCATATGAAATTTCTAAAACTCTTTTAAGTGATGTATATATTTTTATTTTTAAGAGATATTACAAATTTTTCCTGATTCTAGTATATTTTATATAGATAGGATTTTTTCTGAGTTTTTCTGGCTCAGTATCAAATTCATAGTAATATATGTGCTCCCCCTGGTGGTGAAAAATGAAAAAAATTAAAAATAAAAATAAAAAAAAAATCAGGGGCAAATAGAACTTTATATCCTGAGTTTAGATTTTAGACCTTTTTAGGATACCCAGTAAAAACCTACACAACACTAAACATTAAGTTGAATATTAGTCAATATTTAAATTCATTATGAATTAAAATTTTGGTTTACCAAACACATAATCCTTTTACAGGCTGTTTTTGGCTTAATGATTTATACTTACTGAGTAAATGCTCTCTATATGTGTATGGAATATATATAAGAAAATATATAATATCTCTCTATATTAGGAAATATAACCTTAACTTTCTAGAAATATCTATCAATCATCTGTCTCTATTTTACCTCTTTTATATCCTGGATTCTGTGGTATTGGTACCAATTAATTACATGGATTTTTCTGCCCTTCCATTTGATAGTAGGTTCACTTTGAGGCTGTTAGTATGTAAAATACTTCCTCACAATAATATAAATTTCACACACTTTGTCATTTATAATTCCCAATTAAAATTCTAGAGCAGGACCTATTGAAGTGAAAAGTGAAGTTATTACTCCTAATCACAATTCTTAACTTGACAGCAAACTCGCTTTCAATTTTGCACTATTATGTTCTAAACTTGATTTACTTTTTATATAGTAGATTTTTCTATCCTAGTAATCTTTCTATATACTTTACTAACTCCACTGTCAACATGAATTATACATTTCTTGTCAGGTATCTTCCATCTGAAAGTTCCTGAGTCTTCTCCTATTGGCTCAGCCATTGGAAGAATAAGAGCTGTAGATCCTGATTTTGGACAAAATGCAGAAATCGAATACAATATCGTTCCAGGAGATGGGGGGAATTTGTTTGACATCGTCACAGATGAGGATACGCAAGAAGGAGTCATCAAATTGAAAAAGGTACATAGACAAGTTTTTGGACAGTTGACTACCCACTGTTAATGAAAGAACAAAATGACTAAAAGTTGTAAATGACAGAAATTTTTTCTTCAATTAGTAGTATTTTTAAATTAAAAAAGACCAGGTGACTTAGGCATTCACTTCTTGAGGCACTTGTATTCTGCAATTCAACAGATATATTTTGTTGTTGTTGAAACAAGCCTATTAATATGATTAAATTATTTAAAAATGCTTTTCAGGGCTCCTGGGTGGCTCAGTTGGTTAAGTGACTGCCTTCAGCTCAGGTCATGATCCTGGAGTCCCAGAATCGAGTCCCACATTGGGCTTCCTGCTTGGCAGGGAGTCTGCTTCTCCCTCTGACCCTCCCTCTTCTCATGCTCTCTCTCTCATTCTCTCTCAAGTAAATAAATAAAATCTTAAAAAAATAAAAATAAAATAAAAATGTTTTTCAGAATTTAATTTTTTTATTGTTACAAACTTAAACAAAAAGATTAATTTAAAAATAAGGCTTAGAAGTAAACTCTAACCCCACCAAGCTTGCTCTTGCCCCTTTCATGACTTTTCTGAGAATATAAATACCTAATTCACACATTGTTGGTGAGAGTTTCTGTCATAGTGGAAGAATCCATATGTCAGTAACCTGTACTCCTGAGCAACGGAAGAAGTGAGCAAGGGTAATGCTGGCCTTGAGGGGGTTTTAAGGAGGTAAGTGGAAAGAAGGACTCATAAGAGAGGGAGAGAGAGGGAGTGAGGAGGGAAGGATAAAGAAGAGAAAGAGGGAAAGAGATGGAGAGTGAAAGAGAGGGAGAAAAGGAGGGAGGAAAAGGCAGACTGGGATGAAAGACCATTTAGTAATATTAAATAGACGGCTACAAAAGAGAATTGCAGAAGGGGAGAACACAATTAGAAATATTAGCGGGGTTAGTCTGTCTTTTGTTGGGTTGGCATGAAGAAGGGATATGCAAATGTGAGAAACAAAAATCACAGTTATGATCTGGATGTGTAGATTGTTTCCCATAACAGTGAAGCAAATTATAGGAATTTTCAATAATGGACTGCAGCAAACTAGTGAAACTCATTTAATTTAGTAGTGCTTTCCCCTCTCCTACAAAGTATGTTCTATTTCCCCCAAACTGCCATATATTATATAATACATTTAATAATTGTAATTATTTTAGCTTACAAGAAATATATTTGCAGCTATTCCCATTAATTAGGGTTCTGTTTCCATATTTGCTCAGGAACTCTGAATTTCAACAGAGAAATAATATGTATGGAAATAAAAATAATACTGAAAAGAAACACAATTTCCATACAGATTATTTATCACTTTTTATTTTCACTATTGCATATAAATTGTATCTTTTCTAGAAATTACTTTAGCCACATGATCTCACTCAGAAAAATTATACATTTATGTTGCATTTTCAAAGTACGGTTTAAAAAGTATGTGTCAAATTCTTATTAACTTTAGTTCTTTATTGTTTGTTCTTGTTTTGCTTGTTTCTCTCTTTCCTATTCAGTAACAAGTCAATAAGAATCATCACTTATTTTTTCTTAAAAAATAAGTACATTTTTATTTATTTATTTAAAAAGATTTTCTTTATTTATTTGACAGAGAGAGACACAGCTTAAGAGAGGGAACACAAGCAGGGGGAGTGCGAGAGGGAGAAGCAGGACCCTGGGATTAAAACCCAAGCCAAAGGAAGATGTTTAATGCCTGAGCCACCCAGGTGCCCTAAAAAATAACTACATTTAAATGACTTACAAATGTTAATTTAAATGGAGCAAATATGTATTATCTGAATAATAAGAAAAATAACAAAATATTTTACATCAACAGTTCATTAAATGTAATTATGAAATTAGGTAAATTTACAAAGTATAATGAGGTACAGAAGAGTCAATAATGCATATACTATATTTTTAAAAACTTATATATGTATGTATATTTATAGTTGTTATAGCTATATTTTATATTTTATACATGTTTTATATTTATATTTTTATTTACACACATTTACCATCTTTGCCAATGAATGATTGGTGTCTAAGTGTCAATCTAGGAGAATGAGTGGCACTACTATTTACTTTCAAACACAATTAAAAAGGGATTGCTGTGCTAACTATAGTCTTTATATTATATCAAAATGGCTTAATCATTGAAAGTAATGATTTTTAAAACAGAAAATTATGATTTAGTAATGATTTTTGTAACTATTCACTTATTATACATCTTCATTAAAGCTGTAAGAATAGACCTCTTCTCTTTTTAGCTAATGGTAGATTCATAAAAAGAGTCATGTCATTTATTTTGTTGTATTTATTTTATTACATTTTTGGAGAATTTTCTTTCTTAACTAGATTGAAATTGAGATTTGTAAAATTATGACATAACGTTATTAAAATTGACTTACATAATATAGAAAAGCCATCTGAAAAGTCTGTCTCCAAGTTATACCAAATACATTTCTCTTCCTGAAGTGGATGAATAATTGTCCATTTTGCTGGCCTAAAATTTCTTATCTAAATAAAGTTCACTGTCCATAACTAATATTCACTCCTTCATTCAACAGGTATTGATGGGGAAGCCACTAAGTCCATGACCCCACTCTGGCTTCTGGGGATAGAGCAGTAAACAAAACAGACCCATACCCTCTCTCTTCAAGCAGCTTCCACTTAGCTGGGGGAAGACAATCCAAAAGCACTGTCTTCAGTGATCGAGTCAAGCTTGAGAAATGGAAAGCAGGGTATGGGGATGCAAATAGTAAGGAGAGTGGTGGCTCTTATAATGGGTGGTCAAAAAAAGGTTGACAGGGTGAGATTTTAGGAGACTTGAAGGAAGCACGAAATGACTTGTATAGTAGTTCTGAGTGAGACATCTTCCACAAAGATCCAGCAGCCACTGTAAGGAGGCCAGCGGGCTGAGTGCAGCCCCCAGTGAAAGGGGCCCCAGTTGCCCTTGTCAGAGATAAGGTCAAAGATGCAGAGGAAAGGCCCATCATGGACAGCCTTGTAGGCCTGGCTAAGGACTTGAATTAGATCATGGTAGGGGAAGCCTGGGGGGACTTTAGATCTACATTACCTTTACTGTTGTGAAGCTGAGATAATGTGGTGTTCTCAAGAGAATAATGACTAGGGAGTGAGGATAGAAATAGACCAGTTAATGGGCACCCGGGTGGCTCAGTTGGTTAAGCCTCTGCCTTCGTTTCAGGTCATGATCTCAGGGTCCTGAAATTGAGTCCCACATTAGGCTCTGTACTCAGTGTAGAGCTTGCTTCTCTCTCTCTCTCACTCTTCTCCTCTCCCCACTGCTTGTGCATGCTCTCTCTTCTCTCTCAAATAAATAAATAAAATCTTAAAAAAAAAAAAAAGAAAAAAGAAAGAAAGAAAGAAATACAGACCAGTTAGAAGACTATAGAAATAATCCCAGAAACTGTAGATGGAGATATGGACCATGAATTTTGTAGTAATCAAAGTTGTGAGAAATGGTGAGATTCTGGCTTGATTGTAAAGGAACAGCCAAAACATATTTTCATAAATATTCTGATCATCTAGCAAATTACCCAAGCATTTGTATAGATGTGTTCTTAGTGTTGTAATCTGTTTTAATCTCTCAGTGAGGAACCACCGAAAGCAATCCCTGTTAACCTACATTTCTGCTGGGAAACAAAATTGCAACTTGCAGAGTACATCTATTAAATCTTAAAAAAAGGAAAATACCTGAGGAGAACACTCCTATAACAAAATTTTAAAATTAGCTATTACCTGTACCTGTCTACCTACTTGCCTGCCTACCTACCTATATGCTGTATATATTATATTTTGTTTATGTGTATAAGTATATGTATGTAGATATATGACCTGATTGAACATGGTGGTATGATTTCATAAAAATAAAATAAATAGAAAAGGTCTGTTGCATAAAGCCCATGAAAAACTCAAAATTAATTTAAACAACTGCAATTCTTTAGAGTTTTTTTCCCCCCCTCTGTGGGGGTTGGTGTGGAGACTGTATTATAGAATTATTTCTGCATATATTCTGTAAGTTCTCAGGAAAGTTTACCTCGCAGTTAGCTTTAGGAGTCCCAGAAGAATTGGATGTGTAATAATAAACATGTATGTAAACATTAAAGGCAGTGTTTCAGTTATAGGATGGTCTTTAAATTAGTGTTTAAAATGTTTAAAAATGTTCCTTTCAACATCTCAGCATACAATTGCAAAAAGGAGTTTTAATGTAAAACCAAATTCATATAGGCATTACTTTGTTAATGCATTCAGAAAGTCCAAAGATATATATTGTACCTTCGAATATGTAGCTGTTTGTTAAATGTCAGTTATTTTAATTGTTTGGCTAACATGAACATATGATACTCTTTGTTTTCAGTTTTCCTTAATTCATTTAATAATCAATTAAAATACTTAAAGTTCTCTGAAGCACATAGTCTCATCATTGTTTTATCTCCAAAATCTTCATTTGCCTTCCCTTTAGTATTTCTCTTCTCTCTTTCTGAGGAGGGTCAAAGTGAATAAAAATGATGGCCAGGTTTATAGGAGCTGAGAAGAATGAAAAAAATAAAAGTTTTTATTAATTTATTTTTTAACAGCTGCTTGGATTCAGTTTATGAGCAGTACGACAATGTTATTTCACTGTGTCACTTTGAATTCAGACTAGCAGTTTGAAACATCTTCTCAAGGTACAACCTACTGGTAAAAAGTAAAACAAAACACACAAAAAAACTACTCTTACTCTACATTTATGTCATATCGCTTCAAGCAAAATTTAAACACATCGAGAGTGCCCTATATGTTCTTAAGTGTTAAAGCATTAAAAACATTGACACTAACAGAATAATACCTTTAAATTTTTCATCCCATCTAAAAATTGGGAGATGGGCTACATTTAAAATGAGAGTGTAAGGGGGCGCCTGGGTGGCTCAGTCAGTGAAGCCTCTGACTCTTGATTTTGGCTCAGGTCATGATCTCAGGGTCGTGCGATG